CCACTGCACCACCATGCCACCAGTTGAAATATCCAATATCTTGTATTTGTACTATTTTCAATTGAAAAGGTCATCTTCTTCTACACATCTTCTAAGCTGCTTATCCTTACGGGTCACGGGGGGGAGCTGGAGCCTATCCCAGCAGTCATTGGGCAGAAGGCATGATACACCCTGGACAGGTAGGTCAAATCATTGCTGCTTTAAATACATTTTTCCTTTTGTTTCAACTTGGAATAGGAATTGAGTTTATAAAGTGCCTAATAAAGATTTTTCTGAGAAGAGTAGATATAGGATAATCCAATTGCATAAGGAAGGGAAATGTCAAAAGAAAATAAGTGAAAAGGTTTCTAAAGCTAGGTTTGTAAAACTGAAGTTCAAAAATGATTACAAGATTTAGATAAAATGTGACTCTTGACAACTGTGTAAGACCTGGTAAACCACAAAAAGCCATCAATAGATAAACAGTACTTCAAGCTTTTCATCTTTAGAAGATAATAACGAAGAAAACAAAGCTCTACTTTTGCTTCAGATCTGACACTATCCACAGATGTTTCTGTGCATCCTTCCACTGTGAGAAGACAACTCAATGTCTGAAAGGATGTGTAGCTGTCAAGAGGATGCTACTGAGAAATAGGAAAAAGACAAAAAAGATAATTTAGTATGAAGTAAGATTTGACAAACTGATTAGTCTAAATTTGTAAATGGGATTACTTGCATTGTGAAAGCAGAAAACTATTATATTTAGTTGTTGAGGATTCCATTTGTTAAACATATGCACTGTAAAAAATGAGAAGTCTGCTTGACTTAAAATGATGTAGTAACTGATTACATAGCTTTTCTTGAGTTGACTCAACTTGAGGTCACCAGAGTTTACCCAACTCAAACTTCTTAGTTGAGTCAAAAATCCTCCCAGCTACTGTTTCTAGGTCTGCATCTCAATTAGATAAACAAAACTTAAGCTACATCTCTTTTACTGAATTTCCCTACTAGTCTTCTGATGTTGGAATGAATTATTAGACAGTTGCACCACATGAGACTGTGCTAGTCTCCAGTGTATTGAACATTTGTAGACACAAAAAAGTTACTTTCTGTGTTCCTGAGTGGTGCAGTGGACTAAGCTGTCACCCCAACAGGAGGTTGTGAATTTGAGCCCCAGCAATGCCATAGCCATCCATAAGCGCATACCCAAAAGGAAAATTGTCTAGCAGGATTGTGTGATGGAAGTCCTTTCATTTTTAACAGTGTGTTTTCTGCTATTTCTGATGCTGAAAAGTGTATAACTTATACTTAGTGGATGTTTTGACAAATAATTAAATAAATGAAGGGTGGTGTCTGACTTTTGCACAGTACTGTGTTTCCAAAACCGGTAGGGGATCAGGCTTCAGCATAGCTGCTACTACTATTTTTATGTCACTTTTATCTATTTATTGTATAACTATGTGTCTTACAGCATCACATAAGCAAGAATATTTCAGATTAACTTGAGCAGTCGTGTGATGATTTAGGTAAGTTTGTATTATGTTGACTTCTTGTTAGCTAAATTAGCCTCCTAGCTCCAGTGCAAAACCGAAAAAGCACGAAACATATCTTGACTTATTGATTAAATTGGGGTGGGTGGGGGGGGTGCTGGTGGGAAAACTGTAAATTAGATTTTTGGCCACATCATCACCTTAACACCTGTGGTAGGCTGAAGTGAGGTGCGAGTGCTGGGAATCTGGGAATTGCTGGAACAGAGTTGCAAAGACATGTTAGGAGACTTCCTGTTGAAACTTGCTAAGCACATGCCTTGTATTTGTGAAGTTGTGATTGTGTGAGTTGTGTGGTAAAGAAATCTGAAGTGAATATTTTTTGGTTTGAAGATCTGTTTGTTTTAAATGTTGTAATATGTTTTCATTTTTAATTTACAACTTATATATTTTTAAATGCCCTGTATTGACCTCACTTTACATTTTCATTTCATAAATGTATAGTCTTTCCGAAGTGTGCTGAAAATAACAGAAACCTATAAGTAAAACTGGAAAATGACACAAGGACCTTGCACCATTAAACTGATACCTTGAAGGCCAGAATATGGTTAGTCCATTATACTACGATGCACAGGTTTGACATGGTTGAGTTTTTATCCACATACTGATTAAAGTCAGTTTGTGTGGTTTAAATGGCTCAATTAATAGAAAATTAGTTTTCCTTATTTTTTAAAAATAAAATAATTTTATGTGTTATGTAAACACTGCTAACGTTTCAGAACATAGTGCAGAGTAAGTACAGTTTATGGAAATTAAGCTGCAAAAACAGCCTGCAATTGTCATAGGTGTGCTTCAGGGAAAAAATAAATTGCAGGATGTGGGTCCTTTAATCAGTACTACTTTAATCAGCGCCCTGTAACCACTAACTTAGCCCGCACCCATGGTCTCACTAATTTCAAATTCAAATTTAAACAGAAACTCAAAGGATCAACACCAGATCATGGTCATTGTATATGCTATACGCTTTATTAATTTATTATTATTTTTCCTATTTGTAGTAGTAGTATCAGTATAATAATGCTAACAATTTCTATTTGTGTAATTTTGATAATCAACTTCAGCTCTACTTTATAGTGGCCTAGTAAAGTATTGACGCCTTTTCAGTTTAGTCAGTTAACGCTATCAAGGTACCCTAGGTGTTGTTCCGCAATATGGCAGGTTAACATTATGGCTGTGACAGTTAGTATTTTTAGGCAGTTAGTAACGCTAACATTAATCCATCATTGTCATCTTTGCTTGGCAACAGCTAACCTAACTAACTAACTAGTGCAGTGTCTGGTGTTGCAAGTAAATGAGCCTTTAAGATGTGATATATTCTCAATTTTCTACTGCTTTTTGCTATCATTACAGACTTGTAAACCTGTTTAAAGTAATGGTAAAGTAGCTTGTGAATAGACAAATGCTGCAAAGGACTTTGACGATTATGGGAAAAGGGGAAAATTCTTTTTCAAGTGTACTCAAACATTTGACCAGCGATGTAGCTATACTCTGACAATACTGTAATACCAGACCAGTTCCCCTTTCAGTTCATGTTTCAGTAGAAAGTCTATGGTAGCTAAAACAGGTTATATCAAGCGTGTTACTCTTTATAAGGCATTCATACAAATTACCCTGAGTTTGCAGTGAGATACACGTACCTTGCACTACACTCACTGACCACTTTATCAGGTTCACTTACCATGTAGGGAAACTTCGTAGGTACACAGTGACTGACTGTAGTCCATCTGATTCTCTGCACAAAAAGTGGTTGCTTTCAACTCCATACATCAGTAAAAAGAGACCACTATAGGACCACTGCTGACCAGGTGTTGTTTGACTGGGGGACCATTTTTAGCACATCAATGATACTGACATGGTAGAGCCATGTTAGAGTATGTTACGGTAGTACACCAAGATTGTGATGGCAATTTAATTGTGATTATTTTCTATAAATTAAGATTTAGGCTTTTTTGGTCAAGAATACCAAGATATCCATTGTTTTTGGCTTGAGGTTTGAATGCTAAATGTACTACCCCAGACTCCCTAGGGATGGGCGATATGACAATATTGTTTGTTATCATGATAAATTATGCCACTTTTCTAAGCATATTGTGGATATCACCAGTACTTAAAGAACACTGGCTAACTATGTTTCATTACAAAGTGAACATAATTAGGCCTGTTTTTGAATAAAAATCACTGGAGTTGTAGCCTTATTATTATTATTATTATTTCATCTATTTTGTGTGTTCCAATTTATTTAATCTCATAAAAACTAAATATCATGATGCATACTGTGTATTGTAAAAAAGTCTTGAAGTATTGTGATATTTTTGCCATATTGCCCACCCCTAACACAGGCTAGAGTTAAAACTGCAGCTTTTGAGATTTTAAATTTCTGCTTCAAATTGCAATTTTGATATAAAAATGGTTCATCTTGCAGCTCTATGTGAAACCATGAAACTGTGCAGAGCAGGTTAACTACAAAACTGAAGTGGGAAAGTTGAAATACTTATTAAAGGAGAATTCCACTAATTTTCTAATTAACCACTAATTACTTTTCATAATTTCTGCATAATTATATAGACGTAAGACGTAAACAAAATTATTCAGAGTGGTTTCATAAAAAAGGCTCCATTCTTAAGAAGCCTACTGTGTCAGAGTTCCTCACAGCGGTGGTTTAATGCCATTGAAAGGTGCATAATAGAACTTTTTTTTTTTTTTACAACAAATGTTCAGGAATTATTTGAGACATTGTTTTATGATAGTCTTCAGATAAAATTTTGTACTAAAATGCATTTTTTACAAGCAGGTTGTTGTAAGGCAAAATAGTACCAGAAAAATACCTATTTTATGGATTTACTGTTATTTTGCCATTGCATATCTTCTGAGTTTGTATAGGTTTACTGGTACACAGTGACCCCAGCGACCGTCTGAGGAGGATGAGTTCTTCTGTTAAATCTTGGTTCCTCAGTGTTTCTCATCAGCTCTTCTGAAGCTGTACTGCCATCCTCGGTTTGCTCACTAGGGGTCTTTACTCAGACTTCTGTAAAGATGCTTTGTGATAATGTCTGCTTTAAAAACGATATATGAAGAAACCCGAACTTAACTGAGCAAACCTAAAGAAGTAAAGTTGCAGGAGTGTGATTACCCGAGATGCTATGCGCGCAGGTGCCTCGCTGTTCTTACTAACTTCGGTTTCCATCCGGGTCCTTTTCCCTAGGCAATGGGGGGCCGCATCACTGACCGTTCCTTAGGCAAAGTGAAATAAATTCGCCGCACCGTCGCGTAAAGTAGTCCCCTTGTTAAAACTCGTCTTTTCGTTGCGGCGCGGCCGGTTTCGCCGGCGTTTGTGGCGATATAAACCCCATATTGGGGCTAAAGAATAAATGAGAGTCCTGTTTCAGCGTATTTTGGGCTTTACACACGACACTTTCACTGTCCCATTCTCTCTCGCTTCGTACGCGCATTGATACATGTTGTGCACAGGCCGGGCTGAATGAGATTGAAGAAGAGTTCTTGTTTTGTAGCTCAGTTTTTTTCCTCTTTTTATACATTTTTGTAAAAGCGGAAAATAAAAATCAACTCGCCACGTAGAGGATACGTTACAAAACGCAATGGAGACTCCGACGGGGCAAGCGGAATAAATTCACACGCTGGGCAAGATTCGGTTGTGAAATATCCAGGGTGATAGTAAATATTTATTTAAATAAATCGTGTGTGAGGAGAACGAGGTTTGACTGCTGCTGGAAGTGAGTACGAGGGTAAGTGCACCTCGGCATTTCTATATTATATACAGCAACTTTCATGCTCAGCACCGCTGAACTCTGTTCGCCTTTTTCCTGAGGAGGAAGTCTGCGAGATGGAAAGGTCTCTAGCTGAAAACTGTTACTCGACTGAGAGCAAGCGCGAATCAGCCCTCTTTTTTGTTCGTTTCTGCTTATTCCCGGAGTTCGGGCGAGAGCTTTTTGGAGGGAGGTAAGGGGGAAGAGGAACAGACTCGAACTTGATGCTGGCTGTCTACTACCATAAAAGCCAATTTGATACAAAAAGGCTGAACACAGAATAACATCTTAGCTACAGATAGCCACAAATGTGTCTTTTTTTATTTATTATTTTATTTTATTTAGCAGCGTACGTGCGACCCCTCATAGCCTGCCTTACGTCGAGGATGCTATTGCGACTACACTTCGCGTTTTCTTGCAGCATTGAGCACTTTCGCCTAGCTTATAACAAAATGCACCTCACGTCGTGACTAAATTTCTTTATTTCACGAATCGAGCTACTGTGATGGTCTACAGGCCGTCGAAGATGCGGTCGAAGATCCGTAAGTTTCACTAATTTATTGCGGGACAACTTCCAAGCCAAGATAATGGTTCGGTCATGTGGGTGTTTTTAAGCTCTGTTGAAGTAGGTGGAGGTGACTTTAGATGAGTGAAAGTGCTGGAAGGCCTGAGTGAGATGTCGGATTGTTGGAGCTTAGCGTAAAGTGATCGGAGGTGGGAGCTGTATTTCCGGTTTGCAATGCGCTGGCACGCGTTATTTATTTATTTTTTTATTTTTTTGCTTCCTACCCGTATTCTAACAAGCCGCGCCTTCCCGCGCTGGAATTGGCTAGAAGCATCCCGTCACCCTCGTTGGGATTGGCTAGTAGTTCATGCTCCATACGGCGATCTGCTTGTGAGTACATACTACTGACCAATCCGAGCACAGAAGAGGCGGGGGTTAACGGAATGCGGGTGGGGAAGAAAAAAACGCCGCTGTTTGGTTTCCTATGCTTTGTTGATGAGGTTTGTTAGTGATGTTTAGTCGTCTTTACTCGGGTATTTGTCATTCCCTTTTCTCTTTCATAGCCCTAAAACTAGCTCAGCCTGGTTAAGATTACTGTTTAAGGCTGTTCTTGACGGAAATGCTGTGTTTTTTCCCCCAGGCCGGCTAACACAATTCCCAACAGGTTATTGTTATGGTAGTTGTCTCTGTTCAAAATGATACCTTTACTACAAGTACGGCGTTTGCTGTTTAGTTGGGAACGTGGCTGTATAGACTTCATAAGTGACTTTATATGTTTTTTCAGATAAATAAATCAGAAATAAGGTCATCACTGATAAGTACACATAACTTTGCATCTGTTAATGTGTGTGAGCAACATTATTTGTTTTTGGATGTTGAAAGAAATTGTAGTTCTGGTTAGTTGTGAATTTTATTTTTTATGTGTATTTTCTAAACTTAAAAGACTAGACTAGCACAGTAGTAGGCCTGTTCTCTCCCCCTCCGTTTCTCTCTCCCTATCAGTCTGTATGTGTGCGTGTTCAGCTCTCTCACAGAGACTGATGAGGTATTACAAGTTTGCTGGAGTGCTACTTGTACTGCTGATACAGAAACTATTGATAAGCCAGCAAGCACACTACCATTTACACACACACACACACACACACACACACACACACACACACACACATGCACATAAACACACAAACACTGAGAAATCAAGATCCTTTTACTGAGCCAGGCGAACAGTTGTGGTGTGCTTTTCTTAATAAAAATATAAAGCCACAATCAGGAATTGTTCCACCTGCTTGGCCAGATTGTGGTACAGCAGCAGCATAGTCTCCAAACACCAAAAGAACAGCAGGAATATTATAAGTCAGTGCCAACTAAAATGTAGCTCTATATTATAAGTAAACTCAGCTGTGTAAGCTGTGGAGCATTTGCAGGTATGATCAAAAGCGTAATACAATAAACAACAGCAGTAATAACATAGTAATTGAGATATAGTGAGCTTGGCTTCTTAATGTTTTGATATTGTAAACTTAGACAAACAATTACTGTCTGCAGAACAATTGTGATAAACAATTTTGTCAAGTTTTATTATGATCCACATTCGGTTACTGAGTACCATATGGGAGTGTTACAGACCTTTGTTCTATCGCTTGAATTTTCACTGATGGTAATATAATTATAATTACCATCTGAATTAGCTTCTACTATTACTTAATAATTTATAATGATAACTATAATCTGCACAGACAGCATGTAACACTGTTGACATCCAGTGGTTCTCTGCATTAATTTGGGTGGAATTGCCAGAGAAGCATGTTGGCACCCTTCTGGGTGAGCTTGTTTGTTTTAATCTCATGTGTCTGAGTTTCTTTATTTCATTTGAAAGTAGCATTTTTTTGCCAGTCTGAAAATATGTTATAATCTTTCCAAGTGGCTTTCAAATTATGTATTGGTGTAGTTACCTAATTGGTGATGGTGTGTATATATAATGTACAATTAAGCACAGTATTTTCTGATGTATACATTTTTGAACTATCTAGGATTGTACAAAGGGAATATAAGGAAAATAAGTGGCAGGTGAAAACATACCCTCTTGACCCAGGAGGATAATTGTGTGTGTGTGTGTGTGTGTGTGTGTGTGAAAGCGAACAAAATAACTATCGTTTACACAATACTGGCACTTATTTAAATTATCGTGATATTCAAAGGCCAACTGGAGCTAGTTTTTGGTGGGGTCAGGTTTTTAAAAAACGATCTTAAAATTTGGACTGTTTTTCCACTTAAGTTTTTATACCCGAGGAGTGCGAGATTATATGGAATTATTTCATTGTAAATTAGCTTTTCAAAATCCTAAAGGATAATAATGTCTGATGAAATACGGCTAACTCTTTTAACTTAGCTTATTACATGTCATACAATAATTATGTAGCTATCCACATTTATGAATAATGGTCTTTCATTTCATGCGAGGCATCTGAGTTAAGAGACAGATTATGCATGAGTCAGATTTTTTTTTGGGCAGTAAAGGTACATATAATGCTCTCTAAGTACAGAGGCGCTATCTAGATTGGTTTCGACAGGTATGGATATTGGGTAAATATCTTTAGAATGTGCCTCATCGCATATCTGAAGGGAAAAAAAAATATCTGATCCAGTCCTGTAACAGTTCTAGCCTAAAATAGAAAACAAACACTCACTTCGTGTGATGTCATGTTGTTAGCTGTGCTTTTCCTCCTGTGGGGTAGTAGAGTGTTTGAGAAGTTTGAGAATGATCTCCTGCTTTTAGATGTTAATTTTAAGTGAAATGCTTAAATTAAAATAGATCATTTTAAAGCATAGTAAAGAAGAAATTTCAGATTGGTATTGGCTGATACTCAAGGTTTCAATATCAGTATTGGTATTAGGAAAGAAAAAGTGGTAACATCATCTTTAGCGCTAAAGCAGTAAAAAAAAAAAAAAATTGCTTCAGCGTCTTGTCCCTTTCACCTGTTTTTACCTGATCGGTCTGTTGTACTATTGTACTACTGTTGTAAATTCCCAATTAGTATTTTAAAGGGGCAGTAAATAATGTTTATCATCGAAAATAACCAAGACACTATGTACTAAAGTGATTTGTCATTGTCTTTAACTTTCTGTCATAATATTGACTCCCCTGAGACAGAGTCTCAAATTACTTCACAGGTTTGTATATACCATTTTATCATAAGTGGCTGCGGGTCCACACATGGGCAGTGCCATGTTTAGATCATATGACAACAGCCTGGCAAACTTGCTGTAGAAGAAAGAGATTTGCAAGCTCATTGGTCAAAGCTGCTAAGGCTTTGCTGGTCACTTTCCCATAGGAAAAATGACCATGGGGGAGCATCAGTGCACTTTACGAGCAGAAATGACAGGGGAGTTGGCAGTAATGTTTGGAGGTTTAAAAAAAAAAAACAGAAAAAATAATTAAGAATACCAAAAGAAAAGTAAGAAGACCAATGTCGACATAAAAGCAGGGTAAACATCAGCATTGTTTTCTGGCTGAAAAGCTCTTATGAAGGACAAAATACTTCAGAGTTGCTTTTTTCTGCTGGAAAGATAAGGTCAAATACTTTATTTGTTGTCAGGCATTGTCAGCAGGACCAAAAAGTTAAGTTGTTTTATTTTTTTAAATTACAAATATGAGTCGAAGTATAATGGTATTTTGGTGCTAGCTTACATGCTAATACCATTCCCGCTACATACTGAGTAAAATACACACAACACAAGGTCACGATCTTTTTACAGAGCCAGACTAACAGCTGTGGTTTGCCAGAGTCAGGAGTTGTTGTAGCTGCCAGGCCAGATTTTGGTACTGCAACAGCAGAGTCTCCAAACACCAACAGAACAGCAGGAACATTATAATCCAGTGCCAACTAAAATGTAGAGCAATGGCAGTAATACCACTTTTCTTTTTTTTCCTTTCAAAAATGAGATGTGGTGAGCTTGTGTTCTTTATATTTTCCAAACATTTTATCATAATCCAAATTATGTTACTCAGTACCACATATGAGTGCTACAGAGCCTTACACTATAGCTTGCCTTTTTCTTGATGGTAATGTAATTACCATATAATTACAATCTGAGTTAGCTTCTGCTATTACTTAATAATTCATCATGATAATTATAATCTGTACAGACATCATGTAACACTGTTGACATCTAGTGGTTCTCTCCTTTTGTTTGGGTGAAATTGCCAAACTGGCATGTTGGCACTCTTCTGGGTAGCCTCGTCCATTTTACTCTCTTTGAGCACTTTTATCACTGTGGCTTGAGACCAGAAAGAAAACTACAAAAAACACTCATCTGAACACCACTTCAGCCTAGTTACTGAACCTAAGAGTGAACCACACCCATTAGAATGACAATTATAAACAACAGTTTATAATTCTGTATTATGCCAATATATGTCCAAAGCCAATATGACCAATATTTTTATTCATAGAATCTTATCATGTGCTGCTATTAAGTAGCTCCATGCTTTGTTTTTTTAGTCATATGATTTAGCCTGTGCAACAGCTAGTACCAACAATGCTGAAGCAATAGCAGGTTTTATGCAACGGTTTATACTGTTCAATATCATAATTAGCTTAACCGTCTAATAGCCTAGCAAAGGAATATACGATCTGCGGTACAATATATACCACATTCTAATGCTGTAAAAAGGTTGAGATGTGGAGTGGCCTCGTAGCTTATTGGAAGGCTAGAATTATGCTGCATTAAGCTGTTTTTTCCTCCTTCTTCTCCCTCAGCCAGGAGCACAAACAATCATGGTTTCACTGCCTGCTGTGCCAATGTCTCTCTTTATGTTTACAGAGTATGAAAAGTCCTTACTCGTACAGCTGTAGATCAAGTGCTTTATACATTTATATACTTTAACTGAGCCCTAGGCACTGCTGGGACCAATGAAATACACTTTGAAATAGAGAATGGTGGCCCCCCTGCTAAGCTGAACTGTCTCCATCTGATGTCACCTGATCTTAGCTGAAGTTAACTACTGTTTAGCTACTGCAGTGATGACCTCTCAGTGTAACACCAGTGTAAGGCTGTATTTTATTTAAGTTCCTGTTGTATAGAGTGATCTTAGCAAACTTTAGCCAAAGGAACAGCATCTTTGTCACTGGGGGGCCACCAGGGTCACCACACTACCCCATTAGGCGATAAGGTGGTTATAGTTAACGAACAGTGACAAAATCCGATTATGTTTGCAATTAACCAGATTTGTAACCAGAAGAGGAAAAAGAACACAAAAAATCTACAAGGCAGGTAGCCCTTTGGGCTACAAGCTCTGCAGTTTTAGTGGCCAAAATGTGAACTGTTGTGGCCAGGAGTACTGGGCAATAGGCGATGTCTATCCCTGGAAACACCAATAAAAATTCTAAGAATAATTTGGAGCACTGCCCTGAGCGCTGCAGTTTGTTATATTGTTTAAGACTTATTGTTTAAAGCTGATGGTCATACTTGACAATTCATGGTTAAAAATGTACATGCTCTATTGATCAAGGCTTGTTTTAGATATACTACTATGGAGAGGTTAAACTCTGCGCTCTGAATGAGCTTTATACAAAAGCACACACCAAATGAGCTCATTTGAAGGAACAGAGAAAAGAAGGGAGCAGAGAGTGAGAGGAAATGTTGACTTGGTTATGCAGACAGTGTGTTTGTGTGTGTTGTGCTCAATCTGTAGCTTTGCATATCTAAGGTATATATTCATTTTTAGTAGTGATGGCTGCAAATAAGGAATTTATGCTGACAGTGTGCTGGGCAACCCTGTGGGTGGATTCAGTGTTGAGAGGAACAGGGCTCGTTGTCCTATTCTAAACATAAGACTTTGATAGAAGAATTTACAAAGTAGCTGAATTTGCAGCTCTGATACTTTGATTTGAGTTAGGGTTATTTTAGTGTACGTCTGACGTCCTTTTGCATTTTGTTTCTCCCAGTTCCAGACCCCCCCCCTACACTGCCAGTTGGATGGTGTTCAAGACAGCAGACGTTGTGAAGGTATGGAACAAACGACTGTCTGCTTTGATCTGATAACAGATGTGATCCACCATGTCCACTTTCACTGTGTGTAATTTATAGTTTAAAAAGATTGCTGCAGGTAACATTTGCCTCTTGCAGTTACATCCTCATATTAACACAAATAACGTATATTGTAAGTAGGGCTGCAGTGATTTCTTGACAAAGTCCACTAGGTTAGTTACTGATATGGATTTTAAGTTGTTTACTAAAAAAGCATAATGTTCATATAAGCACTAATTCTGACAGCTTTATATAAAATCTATACAGACAGGGACAATATTGCTTCTAACATAGAAGCCTAACATGTAGCCTAACGTTACCTGTACTTGGCTGACAGCAGCCACATAAGCTAGTTAGTTAAAGCACTTAGCATAAAATGTGTTGGAAAGTGGGAGCTATTATTTTGTTTCTGTATCATTGTCATGTTGCTGTGACACACTATCTCAGCTTTGCATATTGAGCACTGAATGCAGCCAAGTAAAGGTAACGTTAGGCTACATGTTAGAAAACAGAACGTCTTGTAGAAAAGAGGAACATTTCAGTTATGTTAAGTACAATGTGGGTAAGTTAATACCATACTGAGGTAGCAATTCACTCATTAAATGGTAAGGCTCAAGACTGATGCCGCCAAGTTCTTCTGGGGAGGATAAAAATAGGATGACATGAAGGATGTTTTAGGATGTTTCAGATCGTAGGATGTTTTTCCCACAAATGGTAAAAAGTAATAATAATGCTAGAATAAAGAAAAAAGGAGAGATGAAGTTGAAAAACAAAAACAGGCAATAAATGATGAATGAAGACGTAAAATAAAGTCATTTTTAATTTAGCTTATTAAGTGTTTTGAAACTTCAGTAAATACTTAAAGGCTTCCTTTTTTAACTATATAGATTCTTGTGCTCATACAGTAATGTAAACAGTTTTAAAAATTCTGGTTTCTTGTCCTATTGTTTTAATTTATTTCTTTTTGAAATATAAACATAATTGTTAGCTTAATTAATCAATTGTTAATCAATAATAAAAAAATGTATTAACCAATTATAGAAGTAATTCTTCATTTGCCCTAGACATGAGCAATTTTAAAAGACACAGTATGAGTGATGGGCAAGTCCTATCATTATCTGAGACCCATTGCACTATATTGAGTTAAATATAGACTAGTTATAATGTGATTTGTCAGCTTATTGGTTGTAAATATAAATTTCCCTTTAGGTAAAAACTTAAATGTATGTATAACCCATCCAATGTTTAACTTTGGGTTAAACATTGTTTAAATATATGTAAAATATATGTAATATGTATGTAAGTAAATGGCAAAAGTACTGTATAATATATAATATAACCGGAATTTTAAAACTAAATGTGCAATAGTTTAGTGGTCAAATTATGTAATTATATTGCCATTTGTTAGATAAGTCCACTTTGATATACAACCCCAATTCCAAAAAAGTTGGGACACTGTGTAAAATGTAAATAAATGAAAATAAAAACAGAATGCAATGATTTGCAAATCTCATGGACCAATATTTTATTCACAATAGAACATAGAACACATATCAGATGTTGAAAGTGAGACATTTTACCATTTCATGAAAAACATTAACTCATTTAGAACTTGATGGTGACAACGCATCTAGAAAAAGTTGGGACGGGCAACAAAAGGCTGGAAAAGTATTAGTATTGGTACTAATAAAAAAACAACTGAAGGAGTAATTTGCAACTAGCTCACATGACTGGGTATAAAAACAGCAATTTAGAGAGGCAGAGTCTCTCAGAAGCAAAGATGGGCAGAGGTTCACCAACCTGTGAAAAACTGCATCTAAAAATTATGAAACAGTTTCAGAAAAATGTTCCTCAATGTAAAATTGCAAAGACTTTGGATATCCCACCATGTACAGTGCAGAATATCATCAAAAGATTCAGAGAATCTGGAGAAATCCCTGTATACAAAGGACAAGGCCGACGGTCCATATTGGATGCTCGTGATCATCAGGCCCTCAGATGGCACTGCATTCAAAACAGGCATGATTCTGTACTGGAAATCACTGCATGGGCTCAGGAACACTTCCAGAAATCATTGTCTGTAAACCCTGTTCACCGTGCAATCCACAAACGCAAGTTAAAGCTGTATCATGCAAAGAAGAAATCATTTAAAAAACAGTATCCAGAAACGCTGCGAACTTCTCTGGGCCCAAGCTCATTTAAGATGGACTGAGGCAAAGTGGAAAAGTGTCCAGTGGTCCAATGAATCAAAATTTGAAATTCTTTTTGGAAGGCACCATTAATGCTGAACGAAATATACAGATTTTGGAAACATATGCTGCCATCCAGTCATTTTCAAAGAAGGCCTTACATATTTCAGCAAGACAATGCTAAACTACGCTAGTATCCACCACAACAACATGGCTTTGCAGAAGAAGAGTCCGGGTGCTGAATAGACCTGCCTGTAGTCTAGACCTTTCACCAATATGAAACATTTGCCGCATCATAAAACGAAAAATCCGGCAAGTACACCCAGGACTGTTGAGCAGCTAGAATCCTACATCAGACAAGAATGGGACAACATTCCTCTCCCAAAACTCCAGCAATTGGTCTCCTCACTTCCAGATGTTTACAGGCTATTGTTAAAAGAAGAGGGGATGCTACACAATGGTAGACATGGCCCTGTCCCAACTTTTTTGAGGTGCTTTGCTGCCATCAAGTTCTAAATGAGTTAATATTTTTCATGAAATGGTAAAATGTCTCACTTTCAACATCTGATATGTGTTCTATGTTGTATTATGAATAACATATAGGTCTATGAGATTTGCAAGTCATCACATTCTGTTTTATTTACATTTATTTACAATTTACACAGCATCCTAACCTTTTTGGAATTGGGGTTGTATATATTTCTTTCAAAACCCCAGATTTTTAGATGCATTTTTACCACACAGAATTGCATAAAAGCTCATGCATGTTTACTTAATCTAAATATCACATTTATTAAAAGCTTATGGGACTCATATGTGAACATTGTGTAATTGATGCTACATGAGGGTAAAGAGCACAGTTAATGAAAAAGACTTGAAATGTTTGAGCCTCATTGCCCCAACTTCTTTCCTTACTCCTTGCACATAATATAGCAATATTCTAACCTCATGTCTGTCATAACCTCATATCATCATATATATATATATATATGTGTGTGTGTGTGTGTGTGTGTGTGCGTATGTGTGTGTGTGTGTTAACGACTGATTTCAAAAACGGCCGTTCCATGGAAAAATAACAGAGAAAGTGGTACATAAACAGCTTAATATTTTCTCATAAATAGCAACATCTATGAAAAAAATCAGATTAGGTCACAATACAAAAACAGTCTTGGGAACAGTAGTTAATGACTGAATACTGATGAGAACAAAGTAAAAGTTCTTGTCCTTTTGGACTTTTCTTCCACATTCAATACTGTAAATCACTGTTTACTTTTAGAGCACCTTGAAATAAAATTGGATTAGTCTTTCTGGAAATCTTAGTCATTTTAAAAAGCAATTAAAACATTTTTTTTCTTTTGCTTTTCTCTATGTTTATTTATGGTATCATTTGACTTTTTATTATCAAGTACTGTTTATTTATCATTATTTATTTTTCTTTTTTAGATTTGTAATTTTTTATGTGCTACATTTTCCCATTTCATTAGTATCTTATGTTTTATATTTATTTAATGTAATTGCTACTTTAATTTATTTAGAAGTATTTATTTTTACAGTTTGTTTCACAGTTCTTTTTTCAATGTTACCCTCTCTGTTCTCTTTATTTATTTATTTATATATATATATTTTTTTTTCACCCAGACCAGGGATAGACTCTCACATACACATCTTACTTGCACATGGATATTTTCAATTTTTCACACACTAGGTAACTGGGAAAAAGACTGAGATGTGGAAATTATGTACATGCACCCATGTATATGTGAGTGTGTGTATGTGTATGTGCGCACACACTCACACACATTGGTCACAGAGACAGAGAGCTGTTGTGTTGGATCACTGGTCTGGGCAGGATTTGATGTGAGCAGTTTTGAGTGATTCAGTACACAGAAGTATCGTCATCCCCTACTGAATTCATGCAGCCAAACATGCATTGTTTGCAGACATTACTGTGAATCTTTAGAGAAGAACTTTCATTAAGCATTGTTAGTCAGTAAAATAAATAAAATCATTTTCTCTCTCTCTCTCTCCTGCTCCCACTTTCTGTCCCTCCAACATGTCTCTCTCTTTTCCTCTCTCTCCCCTGTAGGCTGAGGGAGGTGTGGGATTTGGGCAGAAAGGCTTGATGATGGAGTTGCAGAGTCTACAGGAGGCTCTCAAAGTGGAGATACAGATCCATCAGGTAACAACACTCTTACACACAATCAGTTTTGATTGTTTCATCTGACTATACTGTAGCATTTAGGTGCTAGTTTTATAGAAGGAACCTGTGAATGCCGGTCTATAGCTACCTTCTTCAGAGCTGCCTGCACATACTGTACATTATAAATAAAAAAAAAACAGCAATATGTGATGAAATCATAGTCAGTATCCACATAATCAAGTCAGTATCCACAGTACTCCACATTAATGTTAAAGTTATGAAATAATGTTAAAGCTTTATCAGAGTGTGACTTTTCAAAGCATGAAGAACCATACAGTACCTTACAGACTTTGAAAGAATACAAGCATGCCACCCCATATGCCATTACAATGCAGGAGAGAGCTACCTAGCAAGAAGAGGCAGGCACTTGAACTACAGAAACAGCATCCTCTACGCCACATAACTCAATTTCTAATATTAAAACAGTGACTTCATAAAGCCCTTTCACACTCGGGTTCATTTAGAAATTGCTTACAACTAAGGTCTGTGTGAAAAACACAGGCCTGGTGCACTGAGTACCAGTTGGAATCTCTGAGCAAAGAAAGGAAAAGTAACAGTAACAGTCATATTAGTCATATGAGTCATATTTTATTCTTTCCTCATCTGGATAGGATTAAGTTCAGAGAAAGCCAAAAGAGGACTTCCCCAAAGTGCCTGTTTTTCAGCTGTTTAGTATGGTGGTGGGTCTGTTCTTTTTGAGGAATGGCCCAGTTTCTAACTTTTTTTTTTAATCATTTGTGAATGTATGAAAATTTACAAATTCAACTGGCCTTGTGGTTTGTTAAGGGAAAAAAAACAAAAAATGGTGGTCGGTCGAAATGTGGGTAATGTCGAATGTCAGAGATAGTGAGGGATGCAGATGCCCCCTATATTCAACACAAGGATGGGGCAAAAAAATGCCGCCAAAATAACATAAGTGTAAAAAAAGAATATTAATCGCAACCACCAATTCTGTATTTTCCTTGTGATAAAATAGAATAGACATTGGTACGCAGGTTAATTTGTCAATTTTGAGATTGAGATTAAATTACTAGATAATACTATTTTTTACTAATGTCCATTTGTCTGTAAAATAGGCATGAATCTCAGACCCTGTCTATACAAACACAGATACTTTTAAAAAAGATTTTTCTCTGTATTTTGGTCTCCTGTCCATACGAAAACAGTGTTTTAGGCTACTAAAACTAGAGCTTTTGGAAAACACTCTGGATGGGCTTTTTTAACTCCATTTTCATGTGGATGAGTAATTAGTCAGTGAGAGCAAGAACTGCTTCTTTAAAAAATATATATATATTTTTTTTTGCCCTGATGAGTGATTAAGAGTGTCATGGGTTTGCTTCTGCCTGCAGTATCACCATCTGCCTCATGGGGTCACTGTGTGAACACCCAGTACTGTCCTCTGCTTGGCTAACCCTAGGTGTAAAATGTTCAGTTTGGTCTGCATGCTTTGTTTTTTGTTTCTCTCTCTCTCTCTCTCTCTCTCTCTCTCATTTTCTCTTGTCTCTCTTTCTCTCATTCTTTCTACAGAAGCTGGTTGCTCAGATGAAGCAAGATCCACAGGTAAGAACCATATAAACAACAAATACCATCTCTAGTCATTAAGCTAAAAAAAATGTAAAGAACTACACAGAGTTTTATACAGGCTCTTTCAAGAGCATGTCAGCAATGCAGTCTGTGTGTATGTGTTCTGTGTAGAATGCAGAGTTGAAACTGCAGCTGCATGACCTCCAGGCCAAGATCACAGCGCTGAGTGAGCGACAGGTAAGAGAAAGACAGCTGGATTAGAGAGAGAGAAAGTGGAACATATCTGAGAAAGAAAGACACTTAACCTCTGTTGCTTAGGACATTGACCTGTTTTTCAATTTTCCAGTGGACTCTCTTCATTTACAGTAATGCAGAGGAAAACATCTGCAAACAGTTCTCAAGCAGAAAGTCTTCTTAAGTAGAACTTACTACTGCTCATACAAACTGCTTAAGTAAAAGCAAAATAATAATAAATAATAACGATTGTTTTTCTCACTTGCTGTTAACTTTAGGGTCAACATACTGCTTTTTAAACAAATAAATGGGACAGTGCTGTTATGAATAACAATGTAATGACAACAGTGCAAAACACCTTTGCCCCACACATGGAAGATTAAAATCTACTTTCCCTGTCCAGGCAAGAATACCACTGCTATACCATTAAGAGGTTGGGTTAGACCTGTAAGACTACATTCTCTTACCATTGAAAGTTTGTTCACTTCCTTCAAAACGGCAGCCCCAGTTAACCATATTAATCTGCTCAGGTGGTCTATAGCACAACTGACATTAACTCGTTAATGTTGCTTGCAATTACATATTACTAGTTGCTTGCAATTACATATTTCCACCAGAGAGGGCTCTAGGCCCAGATTCATTGCTCCAGTACACACATTGTACTTTTAGAGAGGAATTCCAACGATTTTTCAAAATGTCTGGTAAGAAACTTACCTTCGCAGATTTCTTTACAATGGTGGTGATAAGAAGAAGGGGTTTCACAACACAAACATAGTCATTTTGTTTACTATCCGAAACCACCAGAGCACCTACATGTATCTTCTGAGTTTTAGTATGTAATGTAGATCAAGGTAAAACAGTGGTACATTGGAAAAAAATTGTTTTCTTTGTGGATTATTTTGCCTTAGAATGCCCTGCATTTATCTCGCCGCCAAGAATATATTTAAAAATATGTTTTAGGACAAAACCTTATCTCAAAACTATGGTAACAATGTCTCAGGCACCAGGCAGCATATTCTTAACCATCTCCTGTAAGAACTTTCTTTCAGCCACAAAGTATCTGTAAGCTAAAAGCTGATTCTAGATCGCCACTCTCACTCAGAGAAGGTTGATAAACATGACATGCTGCTGTCACAGTATGATAAGCAAGCCTGACGGTTACAGTGGTTCCTTATAATAAAGCAGCAGACCATTTTGAGCAGGAGAGAGTGAAAAGAAAGCTAGTAGTCAAGCGAGAGAGAGAGAGAGAGCAGACACTTTACAGTGTGCCTGACAAGCTGTATAGTCACACAGTGTGAAATCTCAAGAAAAGACTCTCCACCTGCCACTTATTGATCGCTCTCATTCTTCCCGTTGTCTCTCTCTCTCCCTCTCTCTTGCCTTCTCCCTTCCTCCCTCACCCCACTCTCTGCCTCTCTGTTCACTCATGCTGAGAGCTCTTTAAAACGTCAACAATTATTGGTGCTAAGGACTGCTAGCCTCTCGTTCAGAGAGGGAGAGGTAATTGAGGTTGTGACTCTGCTGGGCATGCAGCTTTGTTCTTCTTTTAATTTATGCTTTTTTCCATTCTCTGTTAAATTTGAGACTACAGCACCGACTAGCTGATCGTTCTATGGGCTTGTAGTAGTTTTTTTACATATAGTGTCAGATTTTGACAAAATAATACCTTCAGTTGTCTTATTCATTGGCAGTATTTTATTTGTAACAGTCGCTAGAAAAGTGTGGTAAATCGTGAACTTTGGGGAAATGCACCCCAGTTATAAATATATCTTACTGCATGCTTTGCCGCCATCTGTTTTTTAAAAGGTGATAGTTGTATATGTTTATTGGCATTATTATACAATTTTGAAAAGGTTTGATAAACATGTAAACATTTGTAAACCAATAACTGTACCATTCCTAGTCAGATTTGTTCTAAGGTTTGCGCATTTATCGATTTATCAATAATTATTGGTAACAACCATGAAATTGATAAGTAGAATACATTGGTTATCTTTTGTTTCCAAATTATAACCATGAACGTTCTGTGCTGTTATTTAAAATTTGAGTCTTAGTTTTACTTTATTTACACATGCAGCAGTGAATGACTGTGAGTGTGATGCAGACACTGAATAACGGCCCATTCAGCTAAAAAACAAAACAAAAAAAAAAAACATAAATGAACACAGACTCAGCTGAAACTCTACAAAGCAGGCTCTAAGCTACAATAACCATACTGTCCTCCTGCATTCTACCAGTAATCCTAATATGCCAACATGGATTGTTTTGGTAAAAGCTGATTGGCTCTGCAGACTGATTTGTCTCTCAGTAACACCTGTTGATCTTGCATGCTTTTCTTTAACAGAAACATTAGTTTCAAGTACCTTCAAAATGAACAAGCTTGGTTTGTAAATTGTCCTACATGAAAATAGTACCGTGAAAAAGGCCTCTGCATAAATATGTAAAGCCATTCAATCTGAGCAGTAATCATTCATTTGTTCAGGAAAAACTAACACTAGAATAAATACAAAAAAGATACAAATAAGTGTGAGTGTGTAAGTGAACCTATTTCTAAGCCTTCAGCTAAGCAGTCTTTCATAAAATTAAATTAGGTGTGCTGGGGATGTAAATGAATAAATTCATGTAGTAGCTGTCAGGAACCTGTTTAACTGTATTTATATTCAGTTAGACTTATTCTATTGTTATGTAGTGTTTGTTAGAGAAACGGTTACTGCCAAAATAAAAACATTTTAAACAGTTTTCATAGCTCACTAAGACTTTTGCACAGTACTGTGTGTGGGGTGCCAGAATGTTGTTCTTTTTTTTTTTTTGTGATTCTGGGATTTTGGTTATTTTTCCTGGTTTTCACATTTGGTCTTAATTATCTTCTTTTTTATTTTCTTAAAGAATTGTTTTCATTTTTGCAGACACGTTTGTGCCACACATGGAATTAATCAAAACAGAAATAATTTTTATTAGAATCATATGTGAGTGAGTGAGCGAGTGAGTGAGACAGAGACAGAGACAGAGAGAATGAAGTTGAAGGCTGTTTCTTAGCAACAGGTGGAGCAAATAACTCTTTCTCACAACCAGTCAGGATATGTGTGTGTGTGTGTGTGTGAGAAAGAGAGAGAAAGAGAAAGAGAGAGAGAGACAGAGAAAAAGAGAGAGAGAGAGAAAGAAAGACAGAGAGAGAGACAGAGAGAGAGAGAGACAGAGAGAGGGAGAGACAGAGAGAGGGAGAGACAGAGAGAGGGAGAGACAGAGAGGGAGAGACAGAGAGGGAGAGACAGAGAGTGAGTGAGCACTCTGAGTGTTTGCTTCTGTATGGATGTATGTGTGTATGACACTTAGCCTTTGATTTTTGGTCCACACTGGCAATTTGGCAGGAGTTTGGCTGTTGTGTGATTACACTGCTTGTCAATTATTCTGAATGTTATGCATTTCAGCAATAGTTGAGATTTACAGACAGGTGACAGAACAGCTTCAGTATGCTTTGGCATAGATTCTGCAAGTCTTTGGAATTGTAATGAAGGGGAGGGGGGTGGAGGCATTATCATTCTGAAAGAGATTACTCCCATCAAGATAGACATGTTTCCTCATAGTATAAAGGTGATCAGTTAGAGTAACTTTGTATTAATTTACAGTGACCCTTCCCTCTAAGGGGACATGTGAACCCAAACCATGCCAGCAAAATGCTAGGGATCATGCATTCAGGCCTGTATTGATCTAAATGCAGATGTCACTTCAGTCACTATTCCTATTGAAACGCTAGCCAGTTGAGCAGTCTTTGTGACTGAAACTCTGGCTATTCGTACCCCAATAAAAAATCACATTGACCATGCCATCTTGATACTAAGTTGAGGTCAGCTGGTTATGCTTACTATACCAAAGAACATAATATGATGTTAATTGCTTAATTGTATCATGCAGTACACCAGTGTAGAATCATCTGCACTCTGTATGTTTCTCCACTCATTTATTCAGGTTTTTCTTTTAATATATCACCCATCTGTAGGTGCTCATGTATTTAATGTTTCACTTATAATGTCATTTCTTTCTTTCTTTTTTATTTATTTATATTAGTTTATGTAGTTGCATAGTTTATAATGATGTGATCAGTTTCTTGTTGCAGGCTGCATTATCAACACATTGATCCTCATTGCTCTAGATCTGCTTAGAAGATACTAGTAGAATGGCATTCGATCTGTGGTCTAGTCAGAGTTCATAGTGTGCTGGAGAGTGGCCTTTGAATCAAAAATGTTGTAACTTCACCCTTTTAATTACCACATTTTAAAAATATACAAGTGTGTGAGTGTGTTTGTGTTTGAGGTGGGGGTGACTAGAAAATACTTAGAAAATGCAAGGATGTGTTCAAAGTGCAAAATATGGCTATTTCCATCTAGTATAAAAAAAAAAAACTGTGAAAAAAGCCACTAAACCTTAATTTTTCCTTTCTCTCTCTTACTGGATCTTTTTAGGTTAAAGCTTAGCCTGTTTGATTTGGAGGCAGCACGATGAGACGCCAGCTGTTTGAGCACTTCAGCTGTGTTTTAGGTATTGGGCTGTGCATTGTGCAGCATCTGTCCCCTTTGTACAGGCTTTGGGAGCAGAGCCATACCCACACACACCTTGCGCCCGCCTTCTGGACAACCAGTTTTGTGTGTTTTTGTGAAATGCACTGGCCTGGATATAATGCCAGGAAATGAATGTGCATGTGTGTGTTACTGAATGTCCTTTAAGAGCGAACAAAATGTGTGAATCCCAAATCAAGCAACTATGCAAGAGTTTTGTGTGAATACTCACACACCCTCTCCTCTCCTCTGTCCTCTGGTAAGGTGTGTGTGTGTGTGTGTGTGTGTGTGTGTGTGAGAGTGAGGGCTTGTTAATTGAAAAGAATGAGAAAGCTTTCTGTATCAGACTGTAGCAGCTAGATCAGCACTTCCGTACTGTTCCTCGTGAATGCCCTGCACTAGTGCTGAGAGAGAGAGAAAGAGAAAGAGAGAGGGAGAGGTGGGGGGTGT